ACATGGCCTGTGCCCGGACAACAGAAGAAGATTCCGGTCTTTGGATGCTCCGTCCTTGAAATCGTCCTTGAAAAACCAGGGACGGGAACTGCCTCAGGAACGTGAGTTTGCGAAGCTCAGGACAAGTCATAGTTGGAACAAATGGTTCAAAAGAAGAAGGTTCTTCCTACTAGGTTACAAGCTTGTCTTCATGGGCTGGCAGACTTCCATCTTTGTTGCACTTTGTGATAAACTGGATATGGCTGGAATTATGGTATTTAGAACAAAGCTTGCACGGCCGTGTTTCCTACATGGACACATGCACATGAACGATGACGAGCAAAAGAAGGTAGTATGCAAGATAACGTTGCTCAATTCCACAGTTAAAGCACTAAGCATTTCAAAGGTGCTGCTGTCAGAAGCAAATGGGGGGGCGAACCAATGGCCGAGGAACAGGATCATAGACCAAGCAACGTCATTGACACGCAGTTTCGGTGCTATCATGCTGCTGCTGGCCCAGGCAACCAAAAATGAGGCAAGTAACCCAGGTTCTATGCCCAACTCAAGCAATGTGGATGCCTGGTGGAGAAACATAAGAAGGTGCAAGACAGCATCTGCTGCAGCACGGTCTGTCGCGAACACCCTCGACAGAAACTGGCTGCAAGATTCCACATGGTTGGCCCGACCACCAGAAAAATTGGCACGCCAAACTCGTTGCAAATCGCCTCGGCCTAGGTGCACTGATGCAGAATGCTCCCGAAGCCTGCGCTGACTTGCGTCGAGCAAACCGCAAATGGAACAGCGCCAGCCGCTGCGCACTGGCATCTGGGATGTTTCCGTGACGCGTCGAGATCGAGGCAAAGAAGCAAAGGAACGCAAGAAACTCTCAGTCTTGAGAATTCCCAAATGCGTTTCGAAGAAAGGGGCCAAAGTTTTTTGCACCAGCCGGCACCCATGCACAAAGCCATGCGGTGCTTTCAGCACCGGGAGCAATGCCAACACCATTGACAAAGATTTGACATCTATCCTGTAGATGACCAGCGGTCAAAAGATGAATGTGGCTGATGTGGCTGCTGGAACATCGCTTTACCAACAATCGTTTGGAACGCTTGAAACTGGCCATCCAAGCTTGAAGCAAAAACAAGAACATAATTAATCCCAGCATCATCTCGGCGAAGATCTTGCGAAGGAAAGCAAGCTTCTTTCGCTGATCTTGTCGTTTGGCCGGAAGCTTGAAGGCCGCAACCAAGGCATCGTAACGCACAGCAAACTGAGTGACTGATTGTTGCAAAAAATCGGTGGAATGTGTGAAAAACCTGGTGGCGGAAGGACCTAATATTTGGGTTTCGGCCTTTTGGCCATGCTCCGTAAAAGAGGTGCTGAGCACATCTCGGAAGATTCCTCTGCGGAACTTGCTCTTAAAAGCTTTGCACGCCCATGTCCACCGAGACAATGCTGGAAACATGGACCTCGCCCCTAATTCTTCAGCATCTTCACTATCCGAATCGCTTTTTGTGGAACTGTCAGTGCTGCTGCTGGTCGTGGAAGAAGCATCCTCCTCTTTCCTGGTATCCCATGCTCTTTGGCCAGCAGAGTTGAAAGTGTGGATTCCATCACTGAGGCCAAGCCGCTTCGGCAGCTCCAGTTTCTGAGACAAATACAAATCAGCTTTATTGCCGGTCCGACCACAATAGGCACGGTCTAAAACACAGCATGTCAAAAACTCAGCTTTGCGCAAAACTTTGCCATTGCTCAGCCTCTGCTCCTGGAACGGCGTCAGAAATTTGTCTAGGATGCTGTGCACCTTCTCGGCCGTCTCTAATCCACTTCCACCCAATCCCACACGAACTATATCCAAGATGTGACACTCAATGGCTCCTGTAGATGCAGTCCAAATTGCAAGCACGATGAGGCAGGTCACACCGTTCTGCAAGGTTATGGAATCCCAGACCTCGTTGGAACAAGGCACGCAGCAGACAGCGTTGGAAAATAGCAAGTTTCTGTGCCAATAAAACCCGAAGGTCTCTTGACCTATGGAGGAAAAACCACTCAGGAAGCTTCTTTGGGAGTAGCATGCGGGCAGGGAGAAAAAAAACATACAAGTAAGCTGTCAAATACCAGCCTGGTATCAATTGAACAAAGAACTTGAAATTGAAAGTGCTTTATGGGACACAGGGTGCATGAGATCTGTTAATATCGGCATGTCAGGGAAGCCGTCGAAACCATAACCATAGGCATGGTAGCAGCTTGTGTGAAATGACAATGGAAACATATGCGGGCAGGGAACCAATCTCCAAGCGCTAGGGCACGGAAGATTTTTTGGGGCAGCGTGGAAAGAGGTTCTCTTCAATGTCTCCAATACAGACATCGCAGCAGCTGCCCAACTGCTAGGCACCATCCTGTGATGATGGAGCTGGCCTACGTCAACTCCTGAGTGATGCTTCAAAAATTCTACTGTTCCCACTTGCCAGCTTGACAGGGAAAATCAAAGCTTCGAAGAAAACAGAACACCACTCCTGCCAACGTCATCTGCACGAGCAAGCTGGGAAACAAGTAGTCTGGGACATTGTGCACAATCAGCCATAGCAGGAGCCTGCCAAGAACCAATGCAATGGCTCTGTCCTTCGATTGAAAACGCAGCTTTCCACGGGCAAAACCTTGCACTCCTGTGGCATCGCGTGGTTTTGAAATCTCATCACGCTCTAAACTTTCTTCTAGCATCAGATCGTCCTCCACTGCGCCACTGTCCGGCCTTGCGCCAGGTGCCTGCGAACGACTTCCAGTTCCACCACGCTGTAGGATATCCCAGTTTCCAGAGGCACGTCGTGCCCGGCAGCTGCGGACAGCCCAAACACCTGCCCCACAAAGGCGGGCAACCAGATGGTCGTGGCGGGAGCCCTGTGATTCAGACCACGAAGGAAGGTTTTCCCACGCAGGACCTCGAGCGAGGACTCCTTCCTCTAGCAACTGACTAACTTCCATGTCAACTTTTGCAATAACTTTCAACAGATCTTCATTCAGTGCTTTTCCTGAATGTACAAGTCGGCCCAAGCTGTCAGAATTTGCGGCGTTCCGGCAGCACCAGGCGCACGTGGGCAGAAAGCACGCGCATGCAGTATCTGGGAAGCACAAGTGGCAGCCAGCCAAGAAGCAATGACAGGCCATGGCTGGCACAGGGGCAAGGAAACCTCTACTCGTCGTTATCTTTCCATGTGTGATGTATAAATAAAATGCTCTTCAAGACTTCTGTCTTGAAGACGTTGCATGTGCCCGTTAGAACTGCTACCCTGAGTACATGGAGAAATGAATTTCTCTTTGCAGCACCGGAATGGCAAGAATGGCTTCAGATACAGATTTTAATTCAGCTCTTCCCACGGCAAGGACTGACATCAAAAACGAACACGAAAAGGTCCAAGATCATTGGTCCCTGTTACTGTTCTGATGTACTTCCAATGGGCCATGTTTGTAAGACGGGTGTCTGATGGTGTCTGAGCAGCAGTTCCCCGGCCTTTCAGGCGAAGCTTGGCACCGCTCGGAAGATCATTCACCGAAAAGAGGCCCAAAGAACCTGTGTTGCCAGCAGCCATCACCTGAGGAATTGACGGCATTTGAAAGGCATTGCTACCTCCTGTTATCTACCATTGTTGCTGCAAGACTTTCTGAATATACCCAGAAACTGTTGCACGTTGCGAGCCCCATGACATGGTAAAACATAATCATGTGACATTGTTGTTGGATACCATTCCTTGGAGACTAAGGGTATGTAATAACCGCGGGGCGTCTCACCATCTTTCCACAACCCTGATGCCCGCACCTTCAAATGATGCTTTGCCATCAATCGTTCATTCCACTTCGACAAGGCTTCCTTGTCCAAATTGGATGGGTCTTCCTCCTGGTGGTCGCCGCGCGGGCTGTCAATGACTAGGGATGACGCTATGACTGCTGTATGCTCCTATAGAAACTGGTTTCAAAGCGCCCGCTTTGAAACATACCCTTTTGAAAGGCCTGTCTATAGAAAAGCTCTTCAAAGCGCCCGCTTTGAAAAACATCCCTTGAAAGGCCTGCCTATAGAAACTGGCTTCAAAGCGCCCGCTTTGAAACATACCCTTGGAAAGGCCTGTCTATAGAAAAGCTCTTCAAAGCGCCCGCTTTGAAAAACATCCCTTGAAAGGCCTGGCTATAGAAAATGGCTTCAAAGCGCCCGCTTTGAAAAATTGTTCTTGCACGGCCCGGCTAGAAAACATAAACAATATGTTCAAAAAATGCACCCCCAGGCCTCACTGTCAGGTTCATTCGCTTTTTGCGGAAGCTCAGGAACAGTCAGCACTGCCATGGGGTCCAGCTGGTGAGTCGCCGCCTGGCCGTCCTTCGTCACAGGAGGCACGTTGGGCGGCAATTCCATGGGCTCACTCTTGCGCTTGAAGAGCTGGCGCAACCTCTTTGAGAAATTACCTTGCTTGGGCGCACTTTGTGCAATCTGCAAAGCATACTCATTGCGCTTCTGGGTGTACACCTCAAAGCATAGGTCCAATGTGTGCCCAGCTTGGTGCCATGCATTGACCTTTTGACGCCACTCACGGTAAGCATTGCTGTCCTTGTCATGTGGCATTTCTCCGGGTTCCCCTGGGCCGAAGCAAACAGCAGCGAAGCCCTTGCCCAAGCCCACCCGCTTGTCGGCCAGCTGGAGAACTGCAAGTAGGAAGCCAATCTGGCAGTTGAAGGGGCGACATAAGACGCAGAAGCTGCTGTTCATGCCCTGGAGGAGTTGGACCCAAGCTGCCACAGACATCCCTTGCCTCCACATCTTCACCCAAGGACGGCGATCGTCCTCGGTGGCAGGTGCCTCATCTGAGGAAGACTCATCCTGGAGATTCTCATGCTGAACCTCCTCAGTGTCCGATGTTTCTCCCAATAGCCTCTGCTCTTCCGTAAGAACGCGTTTCTTCTTTAAGCTGGACTGGCCGATGGATTTCACATGGGATAACCTTCTCTTTTTGCACGAGAGGGCAGCCACCGGGTCCCTCCTGGAAAAATTTCTCCGGCAACGATTGCAGTAATCTACAAATTTGCAGAAAAACAAACACGCCTGCCGTGATCTAATTCAAACAGGAGCCGAGACTCTGGTGCTCACACTGGTACAATCTTTCTGGACGATCAGGATGGCTCGGCACAGGACCGACCCAGGCAAGATTTCCCTGCCGAGCACACTCATCTGGAAAGGCTAGCAGTTACTGGTTCCAGCAAAAAAGGTGGCAAAATCAAAATTGACTCGCAATGCCTGCTTCTCAGCCCACTGAGGGCCAAAGCCGGCCAAGAAGTATTCAACATATTCCTGCGCACAGTTGCTTGCAGGTGGCTTCCTCGGATGTTTTCTCAGCACATAAGACCTACTATAGGTCCTTTTTCGGACACATACAGAGAAGAAATGATGTTTCTGGATTTCTGGCCGTCACACGGTGAAGCCATGCTGTCCGACAAAACATACGACTGCTCATGTGCGCACCGCAGATACTTGCTGTATATAAAATGCTGCCAAAATTTGTTTTCTACTATAAATCAAACTAATCTTGTCAGAGTTTGGGGTCTGGCAGCAATTTCTCAATCCTCTGCATTGCTGCGGTTCTGCTTCTCCATAACTGGGATCGGAGATGCGAATCGGAAGAGATCGAAGACATTGTTTTTTTCCTGCCATCGCGCTTCAAGGCGCTTGCCAAAGACAACACATGTTCTTACACAGTATTTTGAAACAATGACAAAGCAACAACCAGCACAAGCAAGCGCCAGCTTACATGTTCATGAGGTATTGACAGGCGGTTGACAGGCTCTTGTCAACAATAAGCTTCGGCGCTTCGGTGGTATCCCCAACAGCCGCAATAGTTTATTAAGACAAATATTTCTGAAATGTGCTCTGAAGCCAGGCGCCCGAAACACACCAGCTCGGTTTCCGTGAATCAATGGCCGCAAATCCTGTTGAACTTGGTGCCTCCCAGACCTTCTCCGGAACCTTCTCCGGGACTCCGGAATGCTGTTGAACCTGACTTGGCTCTGCACCGAAGCCTCCCGAAACCTTCTCTAGAACCTCCTCCGGAACCCTGTTGAACCTAACCTGGCTCTGCACCAAAGCTTCCCACACCTTCTCCGGAACCTTCTCCGAAACACTGTTGAACTTGACCATGGCTGCACCAAAGCATCTGAGACCTTCTCCGGACAACTGTGGAACCTGACCGGGCTCTGCACCAAAGCCTCCGGGAACCTTCTCCAGAACCTTCTGCGGAACCCTGTTGAACTTGACCCGGCTCTGCACCAAAGCCTCCCAGACCTTCTCCGGAACCATCTCCGGAACCCTGTCGAACCTGACCTGGCTCTGCACAAAAGCATCTGAAACCTTCTCCGGACCACTGTGGAACCTGACACTGACCGGGCTCTGCATCAAAGCCTCCCAGAACCTTCTCCAAAACGATTTTCGGAACTGAACCCTGTTGAACCTGACATGGCTTTGCACCAAAGCCTTCCAGATTTTTCGGGAACCCTGTTGAACCTGACCTGGCTCTGCACCAAAGCCTCCCAGGCCTCCTCCTCCGACCTTCTCCCAAACCTTCTCCGCAACCCTGTTCAACGTGACCTCGCACTGCACCAAAGCTTCCCAGACCTGGAACACAGGAACCCTGTTGAACCTGACCCGGCGCCTGCACCAGTGCACACCGGAGGTATTCTGGACTGCAGACCCCATTAGCTTACACTGTTGAAGGAAAAATGGATTCTCCGAAACCAAGGTGAATAGGACTCATGTGATATGGCTCCTTCAGCTGCGCCCGGACAACATCCGCATTGCTGGGATTGTGGCCAAGCCCAATGAGGATCGCATCAGACTCTTTCACAGCAGCTAGCCAAGGGGGGGGCTTGCCACCTGCACCGCCAATCTTCAAAGTAAAACTTCGGTCAGGCCGCCCTCTGCTTTTGCTTGAAGGCGGAAGCACAAACAAACGGTTCTTCTCAGGTAAGCTGGGCATATCTGCATCGGTGGTAGGGAAGCCGGAATAGAACTCAAAGCAATCTGCAACCTGCACCTCCACATCCGCTGCCACAGCGGCTTTGACTCGCTCTGCTTGCTCATCTTTGGCTTCTTGCTTGGAATCTTTGGGCTGAGAAGTAGTCACTGGGGTCTCCCCTGTGGGGCCTGTTGACTGCTGGCTGCCAGGAGCTGACTTGGCAACCGTTTCCGCGCTCTGCCCTTCCACACTTTTTTGCTCTTCCTTTTCGTCCTTTTTCGGACTCTGCTCTGTTTCCGTGGCGGGGGCAGTTTGAGTCTGCGCATCCAAAAGATCTTGCAACTTTTCCTCCATCAAGCCCCACTCACTCGAAGGGAGAAGCTCCGAGAACTGCAAACTAGCTTTGCCGGCTTTCGCGCTCAAGCTCCAGCCCTGCAAGAACGATTCTCGAAGCTTTGGCTCGCCATCCACGAGGAGCCGGCGCATGAGCACTGTCAAACTTCGAGTGGTCACACCGCCAAACTTGCTCATCAGCCGGGCAAAGTAGTCAATGGCAGGCAGCTGAACATTACCTGCAGAATGTAGCCAAACAGAGTTCAGGAAAGATGTCAGAAACTACACCACGCCTTACGTCAGAACGCATGCTAGAACATACGTTAGGGCGATGAATGTCAGAAAATGCTCTTCTTCTAATGTTTTGTTAGAAACAAGGTCAAAATGGTGGTTACAGGAGAAGGAGACAAGAGATGGTATTACAAGGCCGCAGAAATCTTGAAAAGATTTAGAAAACAAAGGTTGGGTTGGGTTCTGCAATCGTTCTTTCAGCGGTACCCTTGCAGGCACTGCATCAGCTGCAATCTTCAAGACCACATGTGGCTGAAGCGTTTTGTGAGCTAAATATCTTAGCTTTCAATTCTTGTATAAAACAGAATGGCGTAAGATCTCGGCTTTGGACTTCATCCCCAAGCCCTTCCCTTTCCACCGAAAACAATGGCAATCAGGACACAGACTTCCCGGAATAGAGACAAATTGAGAGGAGCGCGCTTGATTCTCGGCACGTCGCCGTTCACAAGGACTTCAGCAGTACTCAGCACCTTCGTAGTCTGGTTCATGACAAGTGTCTGCACATCATACACCTTGCCTTCGAGCTGGCATGTCTTTCCTCCCGTGGTGAGATTGGCAAAGGTTACATGGCAGTCAGTTTCAGTTTTGCCAGTAAAACATAGGGAAACACTTTACTTAGAGTGATGCCCACCCTCACAGGACACTCTATTCTGACATAGTCTCTGACATACCCTATGATAGTATATGTGGCAATCTTTCTGACATTCTTTCTGGCAGAAAAAACTCTGACATTCTATCTGGCATTCTTTCTGGCATCTATATACAGACATGCTATCTGGCATTTTATCTTGCAGTTTATCTCGCATTCTACCTGGCATTCTATTTGACATTCAATCTGGCATTCTCTTTGGCATTCTTGGAGTTCCGGTCCAGGTGCCGTCCACAGCATCCGGAGCTGGCGATATTGTGAGCTGGCAGAGACGGAGAAGGAGGAGGAGAAGGAGGAGTTGTATCGTTGTTAAAGTCTAGAGACCCTGACCAGATGAGGCATAGTGGTTATAAGTTATAAGTTATAACGAAAAACATATTGTCACAGTGTCATGGCCAGTGCGATCTGAAAGGCACTTTCCACTCACATGGAAAACAAACCTTCTCATGGTTCGGTCCTGAAAGTGTCATCCAATCATTCTGCAAGAGCCACTGCTGAGCAAACAGATTCGCAATCACCGGGGGGGTCTTCTTGCGCCACTGCAGAAGATGCTGGAGGGACTCTGTGGAAGAGGTTCGGAGTAAGCACTTCGCATCCTTCAACCTATGTCAGCTGGGGCGATGTGATTTCCAGGGGGGCGTTGGCATGGAACATATTAACGGTATCACCACCTGATCTTCCTTCCCTTCAGCTGTTAAATGATATCAACCACCTGCCATGGAGGTTGCAAGCAATGCAAATTGGCGACCCGTCTTGCAAAAACATGTGCGGGGACCCAGAGGGCCAATGAAGCTACCCAAATAATGTCTTGCGGCGCAAGAAGCCGATGTGATGCATTGCCTCGGCTCATGGAAAGAAACTTCGCGTCCAAATTCTTCCCCTCGGCCAAGATCGCCCGCAGCATGTGGGGCGTCAGCTTGTCAGGGCCGCTCTGCTCGGATGAACCCAAAACAGCCTCGGCGGGCATCGCCAGTCACTATAGTCCATTATAGTGCCACTTGCTTTATTGCGTTCGGTGGCCGGATTGCGAATAATCTGAGTGTGTGACGATCACCTCCTTCGCAATCGCTGGACTCTCAAGCCACTGCAGAAACATCACAGCTGTGTCCACGATATGCGGCTGCAACGCGGATTGCTGCTGGACCTGAAACGGATGGGATGCAACAACCCTACTAAGCTACAAAACAATAAAAGAAAGACAGTGGGTCCCGACAGACAGCATCAAAACATTTAGATCGCTTCCGATTGAAGAAACCATGGGCCATGGGCAAGATTATATTCAAGCCCTGCACAGGCAAGAGCTTCACATCGTTATGGCAGAGATCTGGGACCTGGGAGGCCTGCCTACAGAACCCTCATGTTATGTTGATGCGAGGACACGCGTGGAGACATGTTCTTTCTGGCATGGTGTTAAAATTTCTCCAAGCCCCTGGCCGCAGCTCCTTCCATGTACTGCTGCCATGCCGTGAAGCTTTCAAACTCGACGTACTCCACCTGCAACCCATGTTCCAAAATGGAGCATATTTCATCCTTCGCAGCCGGATGCCAATCAGCTTGGGACTTGCCGCGCAAGATCTTCAAGGCGTTCAGGGTAGAGAGGCATGGAGCCGGCAGCAAACCTTCTGCAGTGACAAACGGGTTGCCTGTGCTGTCAATCGGAAGTACTAACTTAGACAAACTGGCCAAGCGAAATTCACTGCCGAACTTGTCCACAAACGCCTTGATCCTCAGCAAGCGATGCGAAAGCCCTGAACTACACAATTCGATGTGGTTGAAAGAAATTATTTTCAGGAACACATCTTCGTTCACTCAGGTAGGTTGGATGCAGAGTATCTGACAGAAAGAAGAATCACTGAAGCCGAATGAATATATTTGTCCACCTTTCCAAACACGGTCGAAAAGATGGTTCTGTCAATGCGACCCAAAACAAACGAAATATTTCCCATTCGCACCCAGGCTCTGAGCTGGCACAATTCCTGTAGGACGCCACCCCACACTGCTGGAGAAGGCATCCAGCATGAGCCGCCTTGGACGCTGATCCTTCTGGTCACTGTCCTTCTCCTTCTGCTTCCTCTCCTTTTTCACGTGGGCTTTGAATTTCTCAAAAGGGAAAGCCTGGCGAGCAGCACACTCCGTCATGCCTACCACAACTCTAGGAGAACCAGCATCTTCCGCCTTCTGCCTTCCTTAAAGTTTGTTAATTCATTGGGCAAAATCAGTGCGCAGAATGCTGATGGCAATTTGCCGCAACCGTGGGGTATGAAGTATGGTCACCATTTTCTCCCGAGCCCTGCCTTTGCCACTATGGAATGTGGATCAAACGGCACAATCGCGACCAGACTCATAGCGTCAGTGTTGTGACAGATTCAGAAGCCAAAAGAAAGGCTTTTGCAAACAGGGCAAGCCAGTACACAAAGAAGTTATCACAGACAAGCTCCCGAGGCAACCGGAAGCGCAGGAAGTTTCAATTGTGTGGTCATTATTGGCTGAATCAAATAATACGCTGAGTCAAACCGCAAACAAAAAAGCAATCTGATGCCAGAATACTTCCCGCTACAGACCTCATGGAACCCTTGAACTGCACCGAAACCTTCCAGAACCTGATTGGAACTGCAACAGAACCTTCCGGCCCGGAACTGGATTTAGCGGAACAAGCTGGAACCTCACCTCGATGCTCTACTGGACGGTTCGGGAACATGATCTGATAACCGCACCTGAACCTTCCGGAAGCTGCACCACTTTACATCTGGGTGGAAAACTCCTGTAGGAGCGGGGTCTTTGGCGGCAGCCTCTGCTCAGTGATCGGGGGGGCTTTTGCGCTATAATAACCCGAGTGGGACATTGAATCGCATTGTCATTCGGTGACTACATACCCAAAAGATCAGGTTAGGCAATTTCCTGCCTATAGTTAATTCCCTATTTCCTATACTTAATTAGATAATTTTTAAGGTGAAAATGCAACGTAATTTTAAGGTAATTCGGCACGTGGGGTTGAAAGTTTGCATGCAAACTTGCGAGGCGGGGCTGAAAGTTTGCATGCAAACTTGCGAGACGAGGTTGAAAGTTTGGGTGCAAACTTGCGAGGGGAGGTTGAAAGTTTGCGCGCAAACTTGCGACCCGGGGTTGAAAGTTTGCGCGAAAACTTGCGAGGCAGGGTTGAAAGTTTGCAAGCAAATTTGCACCCTTGGACACACACGCAAGCATTTGCAGGCAAATGGTGGTGGAAGTTTAGACTCAAACTTGCACGGGGGGTTGAAAGTTTGCCTGCAAACTTGCGAGGGCAGGCTGACAGTTGGCATGCAAACTTGCGAGGCGGGGTTGAAAGTTTGCTTGAAAGTTAGGTAATTAGTTAAGGCAAGAAAAAGTAATTAATTTAGGTAAGGAAAAAATGAACTAATAGTTAGTGATTGGTCTAAGATAAGGAATTACCCTTTCGGCAGGAAATTGCCTAACCTGATCTATTGGGTATGAAAAAGTGCTTGTTTTCACTTGCAATTTAAATTGCGAAAGCCCCCCCTATCACTGCTAAAAAAGGGGGACTTTGGCACCATGAACGCGTGCCCCCGAGCCTGCCGCCAAAGTACCCGCTCTGAAGGGGCCACCCAGGGCCGGGGACTTTGGCGGCAGGCTCTGCTCAGTGATCGGGGGTAGTCTAGCACCATGTGCGCGGACATGGTGCCAAAGTCCCCCCTAGCAGTGGTAGGGGGGACTTTTGCACTATAAATCATCGGTGAAAACAAACACTGCTTGATATTTAGGCACCGAATGACAATGCAATTCAATGTCCGACTTGGGTTTTTATAGTGCAAAAGTCCCCCCTACCACTGCTAGGGGGGACTTTGGCACCATGTCCGCGGACATGGTGCCAGATACCCCCGACCACTGAGCAGAGCCTGCTGCCAAAGTCCCCACTCTGAGGGATCACCCAAGGTTGGGGACTGTTGGTGCTCAGTGGTCGGGGGTTTTAGTCTAGCACCATGTCCGCGGACATGGTGCCAAAGTCCCCCCTAGCAGTGGTAGGGGGGACTTTTGCACTATAAACCGCCGGTGAAAACAACAACTTTTTGATACTTAGTCACCGAATGACAATGCAATTCAATGTCCGACGTTATTATCCCCACCCCACCCACCACACCCCACCCCCATCATATACGGAACGTGACGTATGTGTGAGAGCGTAAGATGACGCGTCTGTGGGGGTGTAAGAGAAGGACGTTATTAAACCCACCCCATCGCACCCCACCTCATCAGAAACTTAAAAAACCTGGTGAAAATTACCTGTTTTAGCTGGGCGAATGGTGAGCCGTGGTTCCAGTGTGCAGGAAGACGTTCAGTCCTTGCTGACTAACATAAAAATGAAATGGCGCCCTGCTTTGTCAACTGATGTACTGTGAACTCAAAGCTTCCAAGTCATTTCAAACTTCGCTCTTGCCCACAATGACTCCCCAAACTTTTTCTTGTGCTGGCCAGTCTAGATTGTGCAGGAGAAGAGCAAACCGCCTGGTCAGGTGGTCAAAGGTCGATGTTTAAAACGGAAACATCACCGCAGCACATTCAAGAATTCATTTTTTTTCCTTCCGCGTTGCCTTGAAGGTCTGCCTGAAAGCCTAATGGCGTGGCCTTTTAGGCGCTGACGGCGTGTCCGTCACACCTGTGTAAATTTCTTCCGTTTCCAGCCGTTTCAAAGCCTAATGGCGTGGCCTTTTAGGCCCTGGCGGCATGTCTGTTGTACCTGTGTAAATATCCTCCTCTTCCATCCGTTTCAAGACCTGGCTTTCCTCCAACAGAGGAAAAGACACTTCGAAGGTTGCCTTGGACATGTGCATGTGACATTGAGAATGGATAAACTGTTGCCTCGGACATTGCATGTGACATGGAGACTTGTTAAGCTATCACACCTCTCAAACCGTCTGCGCTACATATGTAGCATATTTGCTTCCCAACCATGCATCTTGTTGCGTCCCAAGGACTTTCTCCCAACAAGCGGTATATGGTATGCCACTGGCTGCGGCCCACGGTGTCAGTGGTGAAGAATTCATGCCAAACAGTCTCCATTCCTTAGCGATCTTTGTGGGCGTCTTCACCTTGAATCCAACCAGCGCACCTGCCAACCGATGCTTTCGGGTTTCAGGGGCTGCCTGCTCGCATTCTTCTTTTTCCACACCTGCCAGGTGAGGGTTGTTAGATTTTATCAGAGCTGTTCTGCGCTAGTTGTCCTCCTCCTCCTCCTCCTCGTCCTCCTACTCCTCCTCCTCCTCCGCCAAGCTCTTCGCCAAGCTCTTCGCCAACGTCCAAGCTCAGTGTGCATCGCTGGACCTCAACCTGGGACCTGCCCAGCTCAGTGTGCTGGACCTCAACCTGGGACCTGCCCAGCTCAGTGTGCACCGCTGGACCTCAACCTGGGACTTTCCCACCTCAGTGTGCACCGCTGGACCTCAACCTGGGACCTGCCCAGCTCAGACTCAGTGAATGCCAGAAGGTATGCCAGATAAAGTGCCAGAATGTTTGCCAGATAGAATGCCAAAAGATTTGCCAGATAGAATGTCAGATAGGATGTCAGAAGATATGCCAGAAGATATGCCAGAAGATATGCCAGATAGAATGGCAGATCGAATGCCAGAAGATATGCCAGATAGAGTGCCATAAGATATGCCAGATAGAATGGCAGATCGAATGCCAGAAGATATGCCAGATAGAATGCCAGAAGATATGCCAGATAGAATGCCAGAAGGTATGCCAGATAGAATGCCAGATAAAATGTCAGATAGAATGCCAGAAGATATGCCAGATAAAATGCCAGAAAATATGTCAGATAGAATGCAAGAAGATTTGCCAGTAACAAAACGTATAAATGTCATGGTGGGGAAAACTCGAAGTAAAGTAATTTTACGGAAAAGATGAGAACTTCAAGTAAGTGTGAGAAATTAGGAAACGATATTAGCATGTGCTTGTTTCAGGAAACATGACACACAACAGTCGTGGCCTGATGTCCGACCTGTAGTTGCGTAATGGAAAAGCATAGCGTCATCTGCACACATGAAAAGGGGCAAGGTCTCCGTGGCCAAACCGGCGCTACCCTTGGTGTGCTTCTTCCTTAGCTGTTTGCTATAGAAAAAGCTTTGAGCAAAAGTAGAAGGCAAGGCGGATGGCCCCGTGAACAAAAAGGTTTTTCACACCGCATGTTCTTTTATTTGCAACCGTGGCGCAGAACTGCCAACTGATGCGCGTAGCGCTTTGCGTCAATGACTCCCGAATCCCGCTCACTTTGATCAGGGAAATCCTGGGCGCAAAGCAAAGACCACTGCAGGGTGGGCATCACACAAACCAAACTAGTCACTGCTCTCAACAAGCCTTGGCTCTCAGGGCCCTATCAACGAAATTACTTTTCTACACGCTGACTTGGAAACCTGCTCGAAAGTTCCAGAGGACTGGAACGGCACATGCGCTGCACATGTCTTCAACGGACAAAATCACGGATTGCGCCCATGATGTTCACAGAACGACAGCTGGAGCAACAAACACCATGTAGATATAGATAAATGTACATGTTAAAAAACGTGTATGTATATGTATATGTATATATATATATAGGGACATTATATCCGCATATGAACACCCTCAAGGGCTCAAGGCGCGTGTCTCGCATGTCTTTCGGAATGCAATCTCATCATTTCCGTTTTGGTCATGCCTGGTTTGTTTGCTTGTCCTGTCTGGTTTGGGGGACTCGAGTGAGGCGGAAAAGTGTATAACATGTTTGGAAGATCATATAGGTTTTGTCAGAGATGTCTTCTGTCAATGATGCTATGCTGGCGATGTGCTGTCGTGGTGTGCTATAGTACGGTGTGGGGGGTGGGGTGGAAAAGGCTTTGTCATCGATGCTACGCTATCGAAGGCTTCCGTCCCTGATGCTATGCCAGACCAGCATTGGTATATGGCGTGCTGAAGGGTAGGGTGGGGTGGGGCGGGGTGTGTAATAACGGTTAGAAAATCATGGGTTGGGGCGGGGTGAGGGGTTGTAAAGACACTAAATTGGTTTCGTCGAAAGTGCTATAGCCCAGAGATGTCTTTTCATCAACGTTGCCACATTAAAGATAAAGATATCTTTTTTGTCAATGAAACTGCGCTAGAAAAAATGTTTGTTTTTCCTGAAAATGGGCACATTTACTTTCTGAACATTTCGGAAAAAGTTCAGCAACAAGGTGGTGAACATGGCAAAAATCATGTCCGAAAAAGACAGCGGCATCCATTGCACAAGTGCAACGCCAAGAGGCGCTGTGAACCAACCAAAACTGCCATTCCTCAACCTTTCCAGCCCCACAAGCAACGTCATCGGCACTTTCGGTTGGAGACCATGCTGTTGGTTTTGAAGCCACGCACTTGGCAACCCTTTCCTCGAATCTGATGTCCAGCGGAGTGCCAAGCGAGCAAGCCTCCGGACCCAATGTCCGACAGAAATGCGGCACATACACGGAACCATCAGGGCGAAAGGTGAAGCAGTGATGCGACGTGGCCACCAAGGCCTGCTGGTCCAAGTGCAAGGAGATCACAACGAAAGACTTTCGGAGGAAAAGCGGCTCCAGGTCTTTCAAGACGTCAGTGGCTGCTTCCCAAGACTTCGGCTTGACCGTCGAAGGGTTTGACAATGAGCCTTGCAGCTGGCGCACTCCGACACGCAAAGAGGTCCATACTGCTTTGCCCAACGTGTCCTGACAGGGCTGCGTGATGGCAACCGTAAAAGAAAGGGAGGCAAGGGACAAGTTTTTTTTTTAATCCAAGCCTCCATGGTGAGGCTGATAACACCGCCGCCACGAAGGTTCTTCCAGCGCTGCTGGGAGATAGCTGCGAGCAGCGGCATGACCACAAGTAGCACACGGATTTGCAAGCAGGAAAGGACGAGCACCGCTATAGCCAAATGGATATGGTTCAGCAGTTGACATGCTGCAATCCACAGATGTTGGATCTTAGCCACAAAAAGACGACCTCCAGAACAAGTGTATAATTCTTGCAACATGACCACAACGACCGTCCTATCCTTCACAGATCCAACAGAAACCCCAGATCCAAGAAGCCAGCAAGTCATCCAAATCATGATCCAAATTCAAGAGTAATGAGACTGAATTCACAAACAGATAGTCAGAGAGTCATCAAGTCACTTGCTGTTGTCCACACGTCAATGACATGACGTCTGCTTGCCTAGCGCACAAGTAGGCATCGGCTCACTCCTGGACCCATGCAGGTCAGGATGCGAGACATTCTGAATTGCTCCATGTCATGACTCGTCCGCCTTGTCCCATACTTACAAACTCTAGCTCTTCAGACCTATGCATGTACATATATATATATATGCATATAGAAATAAATACACATACGATATGTATATGTTTATGTATCGAGCAGTATCATAGTAATAACAATTTTGTAATCGTAATGAAAGATGTGTATATATATAAATAGAAAGATATAATCAGTCACATAAAGGCTATTTGTGTGTATATAAATAATTACTACGCACAGGACGCCTGGTTCGCTGCTGCCTTCAAGGGAACCTTGTTCGTATATCAGCCACGAGAGCTTCTTTGCTTCATAGCAACCTGCATGACTAGTTTGTGCGACGCATTTCTGTACACCTCCATTGCTTGGAGGACTGTTTGCAGTTCACCCTGACAACATAGCAACGATGTAGCATCAACGTAGCAACCACAGCCTAAAAATGTGGCAAAGACGTAGCATCAACGAATCGCAATCCCACCCTGAAAGCGTGGCAACGATGTAGCATCAACGTAGCAAACCACAGCCTGAAAACGTGGCAAAACAATATCATCATGAAAACGTGGCAACGATTCGGCATCAACATATAGCAACCACAGCCTGAAAACGTGGCAAAGACGTAGCTTCAACGAATAGCAATTTCACCCTGAAAACGTGGCAACGACGTAGCAGCAACGTAGCAACATGTATAGCAACAGACGGAGCATCAACGAAAAACAAGCCCACCCTGAAAACATAGCAACGATGTGGCATCAACGTGGCAACCACAGCCTGAAACGTGGCAAAAGATGGAGCATCAACGAATAACAATCCCACGCTGAGCGGGTGGTAACGATGTAGCATCAACGTACCCAAAAACGAAAGAGCTAAAGATGCACCTCTAGGAACGTTCTTATTGTCCCCCCAACCGGAAACCTTACCCCCTCAACCCCACACCTCCCGCCGCCCCACCCTGATTTGTTCACTGACAGCGAACCAGGCGGCCTGGGGCGATATATCTATATACATTTGAAAAACAGGTAGCTTAAATCTTGATACTTGGCTGCACGGGCAGAAAAACAATTCATCAGACACAACTCTTCTTGGCAGAACCCTTTGCAATCCGGCTCTCATCAATGAAAACAATGTTGGGCCTTCAGACCCGAAAAGGCAAAGGTCCCAATCCCCATCAATCCACGCTTGAAATGATTAGCTTCCTTTTCAGATTCTGCTGCGCAAAATCTCCCGCGCAAAAGCCTGGCAAAAGGCAAGTGTGTATTGCCCGGCAACTTCAGATCGCCTGCGGCCCTTTTCAGGACCTTGCTGCACAGAGCCTTCAACTCTGCCGTGGGGCACGCCACAGCAACATTGGCGCTCCATGGTGCTCAAATCACGATTGGAACCCAGCGCGCCCGGCTTCTGCAAGGGCCTCCCATATTCATCACATAAGCCAAAAGCGCATGAGTCATAGATGTATTTCTGGAAACTCGAGTTTTCCAGCTCTGTCCAGCCACGGCATCGCCAAGAGCCTGCATTGCGAGGCTGTTCCATGCTTCCATCTCGGCCTTCCGTCTCTTGCTCCCGGAGTAGGTGAATGCTAAATTCCATATGTCCTAAAGCTGTTTCTCGCAGCTCTTCCCACTGAGTGTGTGTTCGAAGAGCTGTGCATCTCCCTAGGTTGATGAAAAAGGTACACGGGAATCCTAGGTGGATCCATCGGACCCTTGACTCTTTCACCAACTGCCATAACAAAGCACGGGTGCTTGGGGTTGACAAATCTAGCCGCAATTCTGCCGATGGAAGGCAATCCACCGCAGGACCACATTTGCCTCCAAACTTGGCAACTTCCTTGCTAAGACGGCTGCAGCCCGAAAAAATCTCCATGAAATCCCATCTCTCGCCAATGTCTCTACCTATTTCTTGCATGGCTGACCATGATGGCCGCATATTCAAGAGCTGAGACTTGAGAGAGCGCACATAGTTTCCATGGTTGGAAACGCATGCTCTGCCAGACTGGTTTATCAGGTTGACATCCGCTTGGACAGTTCGTTTGTACTTGTCTGTCTTCAAGACTTTGCGAACCACAAAGCGTTGTTTGGAAAGGTGGCTTTCACCAGTGCAGACCGGGCAGGTCAGCAAGAAGCAGCTGCACACGGCAGGCTGTGCCGCAAAGCACACTTCGCACCCCAACAAAAAGCATGAACACGCCATGCTAGAGCCAAGAAGTCCGCACAGAGAAGGAACTGAAAGCTAATATCAACTCGATGCTCCCGCTTTGGCCAGCGTCTCTGCAAACTTTTGTAAGAAACATCTCACACCCGCTGGGAAACGGGACAAGTCAGCAGCAACGCATGCATACCCAGAACACCCTGGACTGGCCTCGCAAGGAAAATCGTCACTGGCGTCTTCAATGGCAGTTGAAAAGGAACCTGAGCTGCCACCACGAAACAATGTGCCATATCGGCCAGGCCAGAGCAAGAAAAGAAATTGCCACCATCATCAATGCAAAAAAAGATCTTTACTTCTTAAAACTTCAGCCATGGTCAGCACCGCAAGCGCCAACCAGATACGTGAGGCCCAGGGGGGTGAATGAAAACTAAACGTCACATGAATGGAAATAGGTGAGCTGAACTTGGAAACATGCAGGGAAGTAGAAAAATGCGTGTCTCCGGAGCCGTTTTTGTGGCAGGGAAGTGACACTGCAGAAGTGTGAAGTAAAACTGGAACAGCGGTGAAAAGAATTGCGGCGGAGCACGGGTGCTAGAAACGTGCCAGAGAGATAGAGAAACGAATTTACAGATATAGGCATGTATAAAATACATATGTATTGAAATATATGTATATATATATATATAGATTTAAAAAAAACAAATGCAGGTGATTATATATATATGGGGTAATTATGAAGAAAGAACATACAGAAAGAAAATTTGAACACGATATCGACACAAAGAGATAGACATGCATATACGGGCACAGGAGCTGCACAATGGAGAGGTTCATATGTAGAAGGCAGTAGGTGCATGCTGTGTTTGGTGACATCCGATGGAGATAAATAGAGTTGCAAACATACACGACATAAATGCAAGTGATCTAGGACTTTGCAACCGGCACCGCCATTGAACAATAGGGAAGATTGTATCCGGAGCCCGGAGCTGCTTTTGAGCTCAATGCCGAAGCGTCAGACGATACTCATTCACAGGGGAGTCGAAAGGAGTCAAGACGGTTGCAAAGAAGAGATGTCATGCTCAGCTTGCATTCGTAGAACATGTGAACCAGAGAACATGGTTACTGTGAACACTTGGGGCCCTATCCTTTTTGATGGGGCTCAAATCCTCAACTGTTGATCCAAGTCACAAAGAATTCTATCGGGCCCACTGCCAAATTGTTAGAAGCTCTGGCGAGCTTGGAATGTCTGATTTTATGGGGCTCAAATCACACAGCGTTGGCCTCAGTCAGAAAGAGCTCTGCTGAGGAATATTGCGCCAGAGTTCAATCTGAACAACACATGATCTGCTGCTTTGAGATGTAAGACAATTAAACCAAAGAAGATGGTTACTGTAAGACGTATGGGGCCCCCTTCAAGATTGTAATTTTTGATAGGGTTAAAAGCCTCAACTGTGGATCTGAGTCGCACTACCGAGTCCACGGCCAAATTGATCGAAGCTCCGGCGAGCTTGTATAATGTCATGCTCTGATGATGCATCTTCGGCTTTGATCCCTAAAACATCTGAATCAAAGAAGATTAGAGAGTTACAGAGGGAGGGCCCTGGCAGGATGTGAACCCGTGACCATCTGCTTCCCATGCCCCGGGAGTTTTGGGGGGGGGTCGTGTGAAAAATCAATGTGTTGGAATCAGACCTGCCCCTCCCCTAGCTGAAGCAAGAGTAACTACATCTAGCTACCACCAGCTTGAATATCATTGCTAATTGCCAATACTTCTACTGCTCCTGCTCGTGCTCCTGCTATGCTGCTGCTGCTGTTGTTAAAATACTAATACTAATACTAAGACTCATACTTGTACGACTATACTACGACTATGCTACGACTATAATACGACTATACAACGACTATATACTGAGACTATATATACTATACGACTATATATACTACGACTATATATACTACGATAGTACGACTAGACTATAGTACGACTAGTACCACCACCACCGCCACCACCACCACCACCACCACTTACTACTACTTCTACTACTGTACTAATAGTATACTACTACAACTACAATTACAACTACTTATACCACTTATACCACTTAATTATACCACTTATACCACTTATACCATTATACCACTATACCACTATACCACGGGGTTCGTACTGTTTCTGTCCGTGTGTTTTTGAAGTTATCTTCTACAAAACAGCCATTCTTTGTTGAGTCCCCATATCCCATGACCTGCCCAGAACAGCCCATCAATTCACCATCTGACTTGCCGAAAATCCCCTGTTTACATCGATCTGATCCAGTTATAGATGGTGTGAGATGTCCCATTGCCATACTTGATGCCTAACGCTGGCAGTAAAAACCCATCCCGGCCTTAGCGGCTGTATCAGCCTGCCGCAGGTGAGATGGAGCTGGAGCGTGCGCAATTCATATAACAAACTAACCAACCCTAGAGGGGATTTGAACTGAACAACCTAAAACATGTATCAGAAATTGTTTTTTACAATAATTGGGATGGGGATTGGATTTGATAGAAGAGAGAGAGAGATATATATATATATAAATATAAACTGAATCGGGCGAAATCCAAAGTTTTCTATTTTTTTGAGGGTCACTACACTTGTGGTCCGGACGTGGTGTGTTTTGTACATTTTGACTTGGAAATGTGCTTCGTGCCACAACGGCGTGCAATGTTCCATTTCTCATCTGGCCAGATGGCTCCGCACCCGCCGCTTTAGCGAGCCTACTTTTCGACCATCTGGAGCCTCAAATCATTGGAAAGCACAGTGTTTCGCGACTTCGCTACCTTTTCGCGCAACTGGATCTTCTTTCTTCTGACTTTTCATCTTTCTCTTCTCTTCTCTTCTCTTCTCTTCTCTGACTCTTCCCACCTCTGCTCTTCATCTGTCCATATTATCGGAAGTTTGACTTCTAAACTTCCTTCGGTAATAATAATATTATATATATATTGATATCGTGGGATCTAATGGGGCAACATGGGGCAACTAACACAAGTATCTGCCACTATCTGCCATCTCTCCACCGTCCCGAGCATGTTGCCTGGGAGCCAATGTCGGCAACTTGGGTCAGCAGATCTAGTTGGGCAGCCTGGCTCGACAAAGGTCTGGTCGCTTGGAACAACTGCATTTGCCAAAACGTGCTAAAACCACCCAAAACCTATATCTCGCACATGACTAGATATCTGATAGAATCTGTTTATGGCTGATATATCTGAGATTATCTGAGATTGTCTGATTCTGTCAGCATGCAAGCCACAATAAGGCATTGGACACCAATCAAAACAGCCGCGCACATCAATTGACAGCGCTCAATTCTCTGTCCAAAAGCCATCAAAAGAGATTAAAAGCCTATATAATAGGCTTCAATGCGTCGACAGTCACTTGCCGGTGGACTGTAACAGTCGTGGTGGACTGTAACAGTCGCGGTGGACTGTAACAGTCGCGGTGGACTGTAACAGTTTTCCATTACATTGATGGAACACCTATGACTGAACATATTGCAACCAGTTTGCAACTGTTTGCAGCCGTTTTCAACGCTGACTCGCCCGCCATGTCACTCCAGCCGAGTGAGAACCCAGAACTCTTAACATGGACATCCATGGCCCACATTGTCCCTGAAGCAAAAGAACAATGGTGAATGATTTGGAAATATTTGGAAAATTATGGACATCAAAGCAAAGGTAATCAATGGTAATCAAATCAAGCAACATCCAAGAGCCATGCTTGGGCCATTGCTGTCACCTATACTGCCCTATTCCACTTTTTCTTTCTTGCTCCTTTTCTGGACAGGCAGCGGCGGTGGCTTTAGTGGGAACCGCCGTTTATACTCGCAATCCCTGCACTGAGTGCCTCGTGGGTACGACTTCCCCCCTCGGGTCTGAACGTACCATGCCTCCAATTTGCTCTTGGAAACTCCGCAGGTTCTGCAAGCGTCTAAAGACTTGGTGGTGCCAGTCTTGTTCCTGGTGAAGAATGCCTTGTGCTTCTTCCAGCTGGCCTCCAAATGAGAGACAAATACACAGATTCTTTGCACATGTTCACACAAACTGGGCGAACAATAGGGAAGCGGAGTTCGAAGTCAATGTCTAGCCAAACATATACAAGAACATACAAGAACTTTGATCTTCTATGATATTCTATGATATTTTGAGAAAGGATGCCTTGGGCAAACATGTTCAGGCCTTCTTGGAGAGGGGTCCGGACAGAAGCATCGATTTGCCAGATCCATCGAGGGAGTTCTTTTCGCCACGAGAAAAGTATGGGTACTGCCAGGGTGTAAAGGAAACAGTGATGACAGCATATGAGCCACGATCGAAATTATTGTTTACGTCAAATGCGTCATCAAGTTAGTGAGTCCCCCATCGTTGTACGGGGTTTCCCGTCTTTTCACATTTTGACAATGCTTTATCTCTGCTTAAGCATAGTTTTGAAGCGCGTCCACTTGGATCCTCATCCTTGGCGATCTTTGTTTGCGCACGTTGGGGCGCACTTGTACTTTTGCCCGTACCTGTCTGGTCCTCCTTTGCGCTACTTGGGCGGCCTCTTCAACCAGCAAGTCTTTTGGAAAGAAAATGAGTTTTGGCATGCTTTGGCCACGCACAGCTGCTAACCTCAAAATTTATCCAGCCGGGGCACAAAACTTCAGTCCATCGCTACAACATACTACCAACATCCACCACCTGTTCGGCCTTTTGTGTGACCAGTCGGTCACCCGGGGCGCTTGCGGAAAAAAGAAAAAGAGTTTCGTTTGGGTATCGTTTTGGGTATCGTTCTGCGCGGGCTCCATCTTTGCAAGTCACATGCGTGCGAGACTGAATGAATAGTTACGCCGCGGTGTACCGTGGTGTACCGAAGCTAGGCCAGACAGCAAAACGAGATACTGCATGGAGTTGGCCACTCCTACACTGCCTGCGAATAGATGCATGGTTTCTGTATGTTTCCATATGTTTCCATATGTTTTCGTAATCTGAGCTACTCGCGGTGCCGAGTTTCAGCAGCCCACCTAGGTAGCTAAAGTAATGTAAAAAGTCAACCCGCCGCATGGGCACACCCATTCATGCTGAAGTGGATCTAACCGTGAAAAAATAACCCTGCATAAGCAAACACTATGCCCACACAACAAAAAAAACACGCAAGCAGGCACAATCAAAGAACGTATCTTTTTTGGTGGGTCCCCTATCGTATCCTATTGTTTTAACAAGATACACACCCCAGTACATACTTAATCAGCGCAAGTTTTGACGGAATCTCATATGGCAAGTTGATGCAAGTTCAATGACATTTTCTGTTCAAACATGTTCAAAATGTCTGTAATACACAGCCTGGCAATGCTTGAACATGCTTGATTGAACAATCTTGAACAAATTTAATAGCAGCCCATGGCCCTGCCTTTGCTGCACCTCCAACCTCAAACTCATGCAAGAGCTTGGCCACATCTTCGTGGGGAACCTGCTCCTCCGTCGCAAAGAATTTGGCAACTGATTCGAAAGAGCTCCCCTCTATCCAGTCCAACTTCCAAGTCTCGACCCCGTCCCCATCACGCTCACGCACAGTGATGATAGCTGAGCAGAGTGCCATGTCTGCCAGGCAACAGCTTGGGCCAAAATCCCCTGAGTTGGCAGATTGGGGTTTGTGTCTGCATTTGGGATTGTCTGAAGATTAGGTTGTCCCTGCAGCCACTGGTGTATCAGTTCGTACCCAGCATGGCAATTCCCAAGTTTCATTTTCACGCCCATGCAGAGATACACTTGGCGCCCTAAGCAGCAGCGCAGCCACCAGCCTTGCTGTGTCCAGAGGTTCGTGAGGCGTCATTGAGCACTAGGGAGATGGGAGAATCTTTGACCTCGCGACAGCGCTTCAGGGGCGTGCAAAAAATACTTGGGGCTGCGACAGTTCATGGTGAAAAAAGCATGGGATTACCCTCATAAGTTGGGACATAACCCCTATGACTTCGGTTTTATATTGGTTTAAAACTGGAACAACACCCCAATGTATAAATATGTATATATATATATACATATTTATTTATATATATATAATATATACATACTCTCGTAACTTAAGGTCAAGGTGACAATGCAAACTTTCAACCTGGAATAGGAAAACATGGGATGATGCAGCAATTCGTCATCGCGTGCACTGGTACACAGCAAGCTTCCTAAGCGCCGCTCAAGTTTTTTTTGCTAATTTGCTACTGATGTCACAACATCTTTGGGCTTTGTACTATTGCTTCAACTCAGCTTGCTTTGCAGAAGCACAATCTTGTTTCATGTCTTGCAGAAGAGCGCATACCACAAACAATTCGTCGATTTCAGAAACAACAGCGACCGATAGCCATATAAGTTTAAACAGCGGGGCGGGACAGCAGAACAAATGCAGTCTTGGTAGCTCCCGCGGTCTTGGTGGGAAATTTAAGTTGCGACCTCGCCTTTAACGATCCAGAAACGAGTTAGACCAATGGTTTTATTAAGTGTAAAAGGGGTGGCAGGGCAGCACAAATAGTGAAGCGTTGTTACGTATTCCCAATTTTGGTGGGAAATTCATGTTGGCACCTCGCCTAGTTACAACCTGCCAGCCCGGCGGCAGCTCCCAGCTCTAGAGTAAACAAAATCAAATCCTGCAGTTCGGTGCCATGGCCTTATGTTTCTCAGACGCAGTGGTCAGAAGCCCGGTTTCCTGAACATTTGTGGAATTGAATAGCATTCAGGAGCATGCAAGTTGATGGAGCAGGGTTCCTGTGGTTTTAATTTTTAGTGGTTTTGTACCCTAAACTCTACCTTGCGAGACCTAAACCCTAAACTCGACTTTGCGAGACTTAAACCCTAAACTCTACCTTGCGAGACCTAAACCCTAAACTCTACCTTGCGAGACTTAAACCCTAAACTCTACCTTGCGAGACCTAAACCCTAAACTCTACCTTGCGAGACTTAAACCCTAAACTCTACCTTGCGAGACCTAAATCCTAAACTCTACCTTGCGAGACCTAAACCCTAAACTCTACCTTGCGAGACTTACACCCTAAACTCTACCTTGCGAGACTTAAACCCTAAACTCTACCTTGCGAGACGTAAACCCTAAACTCTACCTTGCGAGACCTAAACCCTAAACTCTACCTTGCGAGACGTAAACCCTAAACTCTACCTTGCGAGACCTAAACCCTAAACTCTACCTTGCGAGACCTAAACCCTAAACTTTACCTTGCGAGACCTAAACCCTAAACTCTACCTTGCGAGACCTAAACCCTAAACATCCCTAAACCCTACCTTGCGAGACCTAAACCCTAAACTCTACCTTGCGAGACTTAAACCCTAGACTCTACCTTGCGAGACCTAAACCCTAGACTCTACCTTGCGAGACCTAAACCCTAAACTACCTTGCGAGACTTAAACCCTAGACTCTACCTTGCGAGACCTAAACCCTAGACTCTACCTTGCGAGACCTAAACCCTAAACTCTACCTTGCGAGACTTAAACCCTAAACTCTACCTTGCGAGACCTAAACCCTAAACTCTACCTTGTGAGACTTAAACCCTAAACTCTACCTTGCGAGACCTAAACCTACTTTTCGACCCTCCGGAGCCACAAATCATTGGAAAAACAGTGTTTCGCGACTTTCCTACCTTTTCGCGCATCTGCATCTTCTTTCTTCTGACTCTTTCTCTTCTACTCTTCTTTCTTCTAATCTTTCTCTTCTTTCTGCCTCTGCCCTGCTCTGCTTTTCATCTGTCCATATTGTCGGAAACATTTTGCTATATAATGGCTGTCTGGAAACCCATTTCATATTTGCAAAGGTTCCTCATTCTATAGGCCTTCACCGACCGGGGATACTATATGTATGTATGTATGTATGTATGTATGTATGTATGTATGTATGTATGTATGTATGTATGTATGTATGTATGTATGTATGTATGTATGTATGTATAGTATGTAAATGCAATATATAGATATAAAAGTGAAAAAGAGTGTATGTGTATACATCATATATGTATACGTAAACATATGCGTGTCTTAATCTCCATTTAGGTTCAAGGAGCAGCCATTGGCTTTACCCATGGCTGGTCCCGTAGGCTGCTCGCCTTCCAAAAATACCGCGAAACCTTGGTGTCATCTGCGGTTCTCACTTGGTCCTCATCAACAGCCCAGGGGTTTTCATATAAATCGGAGTTGACTTTATCAAACTGTCCGAAAAACTTGGAAAAATTGGGTGTGAATATGGGAAAAAAAGTTTGATTTGAAGCATTCCCATTCTTTGACCACTCCCTTTTGCCCAATGAGAGCGACTTTTTGAAGCAAGCAATTAAATATTGAGATCTTTGTTGACCTGGTGCGAGTTTGAGCACCATGACAGCAACAGAAGCGGTGGAGATATTGCTGCAGACGTTTATTCTTAAAACAACAAAGAACAACTATAATGGTTGGTGGTTCACCTCAGTAGGATAAATAGGGTTAGTCCAGTTATGTCCAGTTGCAACTGGGGTATACTAAATCATAGGTTATAACTTAAAACTTTGATATACACCCCACTTACCCATGTGAATCACTAAGTAATTTGTCAATTGTGGTTCAGATATGAAGCAGCAGAACTGGAAATCCCATATGTAATTTATATGTCATTAAATAATTTATAATTTATATCCCGTTTATACCCCATAGTATGCTGAACAATCTCAACATTTCAGATCGTTCAATGGGAATTTACCGTCTGGTCATTAAAAAAAAACTATGGAAATCACCAATTTTTAAATTACTTATGATATCTTATGATGGTTATGATGACCAGAAGGTAAACATAGGTAAACTTTCCACTCTCCAGCCATTTTCGAATCATGCAATCAAAGGTCCGCCTCAGCCCGTGCACAGCTGCCGCGCCAGTCGGTGGCAATGCAAATCGCCGCGCAGATCCGGAGCCGCGTCCGCTGCAGGCAATGCAGCGGCCCAAGCACCACGCGCGCCAGCGGACCCCAGGCGCAAAGGGCGCGATACGTCCTGCAGCGTAGGATGTTCAACCCCCTTGCTTTCGTAAATGCTTCATCTTACTTAGTTTGCACCAAGAAGAAAAGAAGCAAGCAATTAAATATTGAGATCTTTGTTGACCTGGTGCGAGTTTGAGCACCCATCTGGGAATAGTTTCTACCACCTACAAATTACATGGTTTTTACATGGTGTTACCATTTAATCAAAAGACAACCAGAAGATAACTAGAAGATCCATTCTGGAGCACTGCCGGCCAAATTCTCCACGGAGAACTGGGACATCCTGCGGAGATCTGCGGAGATGCTCCAGGTTCTGGGAAAAGGCACCGACCTTGCGCAGCATTTCTGACAACCCAGGGACACCAGGTTGATAATGTTGATATCGATTGACAAGATTTATCACAGGAGTTCTTTACAGGGATGGCATTTTGTGACAGAATGTACTCAAATTGACTTTGTTGCCACACGCTGCATTCAAAGGTGGCAATGAAAAATCACCCATGCATAGGTATGCAAAGGTGAAGCACCTATAAGTGAGTCATCGTTGACTTCCCAATCATTCTGTAAAGTATGTCCCCACATGAACATGGCCCATATCCCTATAACATGCTGCCGAGATGCGCTGAGCGAGCACGCTCGCACGCTCATGGGGCGCGATTATCAATAAATGGAGAAATTGCCATTGCCATGTTTGCTCAGTTTGGTATACTTTGATACATGACAGTTGTTGAAGCATCAATAGCTATGAATATGTATATATGTATTAGGTGACCCCCCCCCCCCCGAATTCCATTTTTAAGGGGGTGGTGATAACGCATTGAATTTTATTGCATATTGTTTCCTTTGGCTCCACATGCATTGCTACAGTAGGCTATTGGGTGTTGCGCTGGAATCTGAATCTGAAGTATGGAATCATCGAGCCCGGCCACAGCTCGTCCATAAAAAAACATTGGTTTAAGTCAAAAACAGATGCAAGAAAAAACGCAGGAAAAGTTCAACCCTGTGCATATATATATATATATATATGCATATATATATATTTATTTAACCATATATACATATACATACTTCCCCAAAAATAGGTCAACATCTCTCAGAAGTCAATATTGTTAACAAAATCCTCCGTCCCCCTTGCGCTGGGGAGGGTGTGAGTAGCAGGGTGCTGGTTAGTGCACTTTTGGCAAGGATGTTTCCCAACAACGCGGCCTAGGGATCTAAATGCCATATAGATATATATATATATATATACATTGCTGGAGTCAATGTTGATGGGAAAACACGGTCGATATAGAAGATAGAAAAGTTGGTTGGAAGGACATTTCCCCCAATCGATGTTTTGGGTCCACCATCTTAGCTATGCAGAAACATGCCAAAAACCAAATATAAGGGTCAATTGTGCCATTGTTTGATCTTGTTTGGCCAGGGAATTCAAGTCGAATATATAATAGAAAACACACGTACATAATGTATCAACATTTCTCAGAAGTCAATATTGTCAACGAAATCCTCCGTCCCCCTTGCGCTGGGGAGGGTCTGAGTAGCAGGGTGCTGGTTAGCGCACTGTTTTGGCAAGGATGTTGCTCAACAATGTGGCCTAAGGACTTAAATGCCATATATATATATATACATACCTGGAATCACTTTTTGATGGGAAAACACGGTCGATATAGAAGATAGAAAAGTTGGTTGGAAGAACATTTCCCCCAATCGATGTTTTGGGTCCACCATCTTAGCTATGCAGAAACATCCCAAGAACCAAATATTCGGGTCAATTGTGCCACTGCGTGATATTGTTTGGTCAGGGGATTCATAATAGTCGAATAGATATTAGATAAACATATATACGTACTTCCCAAAAAATAGATCAACAGTTCTCGGAAGCCAAAACTGTTAACGAATTCATCCGTCCCCCTTGCACTGGGAAGGGTGTGAGTAGCAGGGTGCAGGGTTGTGCTGGAATCTTTTTTGGTGAGAAAACACAGTGGATATAGAAGATAGAAAAGCTGTGTGGAAGACAATTTCCCCCAATCATACCTGATGTTTGGTGTCCACTATTTCATCTGTGCAGCTGAGGCATGTCGAACAAGGAAGGGATTCCTCAACAACCTCTCACCCTCACCGTGCTGAAGGACCTGGAAAAGTTGGGTCACGCCTTCTTTTACCAAAAGATCGATGCACGAAAGTACCTCCTGCCCCAAAGGCGAAACAGGGTTTTTGGCTGCTCAGTCAAGACTGGAGACAAGAGCGCACAGGAAATCCAAGACCAGGGCAACTGTTGGAAAGAAGTATTTTGTAGAATGGGGGCTGGACCCACAGCAGTCGTTTACTTTGAACGATTTGATGCAGAAGGGGCTAGAACCGCAACCCCTCCATTCTCCCCAAGATGTCCGCAACTGGAAAACGGTAGTGGGAAAGGCCAAGCTGAGTGGTCAGAAGCCAGAAGAACTATGTATGCACATGGGGTCCTCAAGTAACAGATTGGAATGGGCCCACCTTTCCTCAACCTGCATTCGACCAAGCCATGACATTTTTTGTGGGGCAGAAAACAGGCCCTTGACACCAATTGAGCTGCTACGTTTGCAGGGGGTTTTTGCAAGTGACTTTGAATGTCCCGACGCAGTGACTCAGCTTCCTGATGCCTTAGCCCGAGATTTTGCGGGCAACGCATTTCCTACTACAGTTCTTCAAGCCAATCTGATTTGTTCTATGGTGGCCCACCCTCATGCATGGCACTGCATGGCCACCGGTGTTGATGCTCCAGCCCCTCCAGTCGCAACAAGGGGGAGGAAGAGAAAAGACCAAGGATCTCAGGAGGGTAACCAGCCTAACAAGTCTCGCAAGAAGAACACGCAGGAGAAGCCGTCTGGGGGTGCGACACTTTGCTGCAAAATACAGTGCTAGGGGAGCTGCAAAGGAAGGGGTCACTGCTTATATAACACAACATAACACACATGGGCCAGCGCAACATGTACTTGCATCATTAAAAAAAACAATTTATTGCTATCAACAATGGCTTCATTCCCATCAAAAATCCTTTTGCTAAGCATTAGTTCCACCCCGAGGAGTGGCCATGGTGATGGTGAAGGTGATGGTGAAGGTGATGGTGATCATGGCACCGACACCACGGAGAAGAAGAAAAAAAAAGCAACAAGGGAGATTGCATTTGCATTGCCAAGAAGATTGCCTTGATTGACGAGTTCAATGCTCTGAGGGATGGTGGGTGCACGAAACCGAACCACGAGCCTCATCTGTTTTTTTTTTAATATTGGTTGGTTTTTCCCTCCCCCATATGTACCAACTTCAAAAGCTCGCTGCAACAAATCTCATACCTGACTTTTCTATCTTCTATATCCATCCGTAAGGTCTATCAAAACATAGACAGGGCTTTACAAGTTGAGTTTGGCATTTCAATCCATGCATCCGAGGAAATGCTGAAAAGAAAACGTCCTGGATACTATTCTGGATGTTGCTCCCGATCCAAGTGGCCTTTGTCTAGAGAGAAGTTCAAGTGGGACAAGTTTAGCGAATTACTTCCCAACCAAGCTAGCAAGAGAGATGAAGTCCCTTCATGGCTGAAAACCAGATTGTGTGAAGTGGGGAAATTCAAGGGACCAAAAAAGGAGACCATTCTCGATGAGCTTCTCCAAATAGCAGATGCCATTCTCATGGATGAGGTCTCGAGGGGCTTGGAAATGTGCAGAGAATCAGTTTCCCAACTGCTGATTAGCCTTATTGACCTACACAACCAAGAAGCCGAAGCATTCAACAAAAAAGCACAGAAAGAACACATGGAGAAAGCGTGTGAGCTGGAACAGAGTGGGGAACTGGACGAAAAAGAACTCGAAGCCTTTTTGAAGGAACAGCCTCAACAAATCAGCCTGATTTCCAAAGAGTGGACAGCCAAGAAACTTGAACATATCGTGTACCGATTTTGTAGAATTTGGGGCTATGGCCTCTACAGACAAGACAGGCCTTCCAAGCATCTTTCCCGAGAGCATCCCTCGATGAAATCCCTTCACGAATACATCCAGTTTGTCAAGGCAGAGAAAAAAGCGCTGCCCCGCTTAATGTTCAACTGGGACCAAGTCTGGACATGTACCTTGGAAAGGGTTTTATGTTGATGTTTGCTGGTGATAACTTTTCTATCTTTTAGGGCACCACCTATACACAGGGGTTTGATAGATACGGATGGATGGATAGACAGATAGACAGATAGACAGATAGTTAGCCGGACACTCCAACAACCTTTCGATCCATCAGTGGGTTCGCTCTGCCATCCTTGACTCTCAACAACCAACCTCTCCTATAGGTTTCCTGTCTTTGAAACTTCCGCCACAGCCTTGTGTGGTACTACTGGTAGATACGAATGGATGGACGGACGGAAGGATGGATGGGGTCTATATTATATAAATAAAACATATAGATGAAGAGTAGTCTACACATGTAAACAATAAAAATATATACACATGTCAAGGGTAGGAAGGTATTTAGCTATCTATCTATCTATCGGTCTGTCTGTCTGTCTGGATGTCTAGATTTGCAGGTCTTACTCAACCCTGCCAAAACCAAGGTCTTTACGAGCCCAGACGCAAAACCTTGTTCAAGAAGGGCGATAGCGGTCCCAAGTCTGATGCGCTCTGGTCTTCCCAACGGAAAAAGATTGCAAACAGCTTGCTGTCAGATCTTTTTGGGGCTGATTTGAAAGAGACCCTCAGCTATGATTCAGCATGCATGCATGCATGCATATATATATATATATATATGCATCCCCCAAAAAGATAGAAAAGTTGGAAACCTCCAAGCTAAAGTGACTTAAGCGGGAAAATATCGCGGCAATCTGTAATATACTGTATTTTTTCTATCCTTTCAGGTGCCCTATAAAGATATATGAACATCAATCAATCAATATCTGTGTATATATAAATATAAATACAAGAGATATAGGAAGTGTAAGACCCATTCACAAAGATCAAGGGGCACAGCATCTGGAGCATTCCATGTTGGTTTTTAACTCCTCCATTGTGGGCTGGAACAAAGAAACTAAGGAAGGATTTGTGGGAGTCCAAGCTGACCCAGCTGGGTGCATATGGGACCTCAGTGACGTGTCAAGGGTGGCGAAGCCCGCGAACGACCACAACTATAAGTTGGGCTGATGGGGAGCTTGGACCGGCTTTCATATCGTTTGGGGAGGGGCAGCTTGGGGATCAGGATGTCAAAGAACTCAACAAGGAGTATGCGGGTACCTTGCACATTATGCAAACGAACAAAAAGTCGCACATGTGGAATGGGGAGGTCTGTGTCCAATTTTTTGAGATGATGACCCAAGAAATTCGACGCAAACGACTTGCCCTGGGGTTCCAAAATGCAGCTGATGCTCCATGCTTGGCTTTATGTGACCGTGCACCTTCCCACCAGTCATCCGTTTTTCAACAAATGCGAGTGAACTGGGCCAGGGAAAACAATGTGATCCTTGTTGGGGCAGATCTTGCAGGGGAGTGCAATGTGCCGGCTGGGTTTGGAGCAGTGATGCAGCCAAACGATCAGTGGCTTTGGCATACAAAAGTAGTTTTTAGCATTTTCCTCCTTTTTACCATATCGATACAGAAGATAGAAAAGTTGACAAAGCTACTGAAAATCCATAAAAACACGCACAATACCAAGCAAGCAAACAAACTAGCATACGCGCCGCTCATACCTAAATCTGTATATATATATAACTCACGCAAATGCGCAAAGTAGTTCACATATGGTTTGCAAAAATACAAACGCGCGTGCATGAGTACGTACAGGCAAACATACATACATACATAATATATATATATATAACATATACACCTGCATTTATGGGTGTACACGTACATGCAAGAACACATGCAACCCTTTCAGGTTCCATCAGTTCTTCCACTTGTTGAGATCTGCTTATTTGCGCGTTGCATGTGGAGTTCCTACAAACCCGCTGCACTCAGAGCTAGCTGGCAAGGAGCTCGGGCCGCAGAACGTACCTACCATATCATGCCCCATACGAACATCTTTAGCTGCTGATGCCTTCGCGCTCAACAAGCTACGTGAATATCGAAAAGGATCCATTGTGCAATGGGCATGGATTACAACAGGTCACGTGTCGGAAGAGGAAGTAGCAGAATGGAAATTCGACAAAGACCTTGACGCCTTTCAGGAAGCCATGGCTGCTTGCAGAGGGGGGATCAAGGAACTTTTGCACATGACAGAGGTCCCACCTGTGAACCATGAGGTGCGGGGTGTTCAAACTGATACGATCAAAGTGGTTATATAAGATTAAGATAATGTAAGATAGCAGAACCAAACTTTTCTATCTTTTTGGGCAAGCCTGAAAATCCACACTTTGACACCAAAACCGATGTTCTGTGGAATGTTGTCATGCAGTGTTTTTGCGGCTGCGCAATTTTCGATTCAACAACCCAATACCAGGAGTACAAACATGCTTGGCAAGGAGCTGCTGGCATCCTGAAAGGTGAACAATTTCATGCGTGGTTTGCTGTTCGACAAGACACTGGCCATGGGGACGGCACGACCATCCAGCTACCCCACTTTGTGAACACCCCCCTAGAGGTACTGATCAGCCATTGGCTCGCGACGAAGGAGGCATGGGACAAACGGGTTGCAACCAGAGCACTGGAGGGCAAATTGCTTACGCCCAAAGCCAAGGAGAAGTTTGACTCTCGCACGCATCTTTAATGAAATACCTATCTATATATGTATAGATATCTATGGCATATACGTATATATATATAATCTGTTTCTGTGATTACGCAATAAACGCGGGGTAAGTGCGCAGTAGCAGCAGGATACAGAAGATAGAAAAGCTCCACAAAAGGGACACCAAGGGTACACCATCATAATTTTCTTTATATTTATGCAAGTAATAAGTATATTATATATATGGGGGTTGTTGTTTCATCAGATAGGGGACTGCTTTTAGAAGAGTCGCATTGCAAAGACTCAAGAGGGCTATGGCCACGGGTAACCAACACTAGGAGGGTGTTTGCTCACCAACCCAATGTGTGAGTGTGTAGTGTGTACACCTTCCGCCTTCCTAGCTTAGCCTTCGAGGATGCATTTTCCTCGGAGCCAACTCGAGTTCTTGTGGTAGACTTGCAGGAGCAGAAGGCGATTGCTCCCTCCAAAGTAGCTATCAAACATTCTACCAACAGGTACGTGGTGATGACAATTACCATGTCCCAGCAGGCTGAACAGCTACGTGTCCGGTTTGGCAGTGGTGCGATGCACAAGTTGATTGTGCGTGAGTATCTTGGAAAAATTGTTTATGTAGCACAGATTCAGGAAGGTAGACCTCTATGACTACTTGAGGGCCCACCCCATGACTTTTCTATCTTCTGTATTATATTGCCATGACCAATAAATTTTGCCGTAAACACCCCAGAGTTCAATCAAAACGCAACTTAATACCTTTTTAGTGATTGTCTACCATGACAATCTGGATCTAGCAGCTAAAAAGGACCAACACTTTGAAAACCCGTCTTTTCGCACAATGATGTACTTTTCTATCTTTTTGGGGGATCCTTTTTTTTTCACGGTTTCTGCTAACAATTTTCTGTACTTGAGATTTGGCATTATTTCTGTGCGTGCTTGTTAAAAATACCCTATATGTGTATTCATACAGGATGATGCATCTTGACATATGAACCAGGACGTGGATTTAAATCTAAGAATTCCCTTGCAGACCAGGACTTGGCTTCGGCTAACATGTGTATCTATGATCCTGTTTCTATACACGGGAACATGTATATATATATATATAGTATGTATACATACATGTCTATATGTATAAATATAAATATAAACAAATATATATATATACATACATACATACATACATACATACATACATACATACATACATACATACATACATACATACATACATACATACATACATACATACATACATACATACATACATACATACATACATACATACATACATACATACATACATACATTACATACATACATACATACATACATACACGCCACCTGTTCTCGGCCTTTGCTGCAGGTTTCAATCTGAAGGTGCACATGGAGATCCGGTGGGCTTTAATGACCTACCACCTGCAAACCCGGAAGACATGGACGATTTGCAGGGGGCTCCAGACGAGGACCCTGAGGCTGGGTTGGACGAGTCCGACGAAGAGGAGGACAAGTATCCAGGATGTGTGGAGGGTGAGTGAGCGAAGAAACAACAGGAGATTAGTAATGCAGAGATACATGCTTAGACCGGGTACATGCCATGAAGGACTGGGGAAATGGATTCAGCAACGATGAACAATAAATACCCAGAGGACAAATTCCAACAGACAGTATCACACGATACAGAAGATAGAAAAGTACCTTTAGACTTTTTAGACCAAACATATTCCTATTTCCGTTCCGCCCAGATCCAAAATAGTTGCCACATGGCAACCTGAATAGTATTTCGGTTCCAGGCCCAGTTTGAAACTGGTCAAGAAGTGAGGACGCCACGAAGGAAATTCCTGGTCTGAACTGTTCCTGATATTTTGCAATTTGAAGAACATTTTATGGTTTGATTTCTTGTTTTTGTGTTGTCGCATAGACCCCGGGCGTCACGAATTCAAAATTCAAAATGGTCTTGTTTTCCACCAAGGTAAAACCTGTTTTGGAAGCAAACATTCTTTGCATATGTCCATGAGATCCGCACTTCGAAACAAACAAAATCCATGTTTCATTTTTGGGTTGTTTGTGCTTGGTTTGTCATCCAAGTTTTAGTGCGGCGGGTCTCTTGCATGAACCTAAAGGGTTCTAGGACCGTTCACAAAAGTGTTTTTCGTCCCAGATCCTGCAGCCTTTTACAGAGCTGCCTGCTTTTGATTGGGGGACTAAGTGACAACTAAATCTTTGAGGGGCAAAATCGCGTGCCAAGACCATCACAGAGTTCCATGGTTAACTTTTCTATCTTCTATATCGCCCTGGTATAGTGCACTCCAAATGGGGCCCCTTAAAATTGAAATGATAGATAATACCTAGTGTTTGGATATATGCAGTTTACTTGTTCGATTTGGATGGCACTATCACCATGGTCTTCACTGAGATGTTTGTGGGAGGGGTTCCCCTTTTCCAAACTAGTTGTTGGAATTCAACATATAAATCCATCCATATGCAAATATATATATATATTTACTGGGAATCAATGGACCTTCTTATGAGCTTGTGGATGGAGGACCAAAACCATGACAGCGTTTCAGGGTCGACTTTTCTATCTTCTATATCACCCTGGTAAAATGCACTCCAAATGGGATCCTGTAAAGATAGAAACTAGATACCATGGTCTTCACTGGGATATGTATTTGTTTGTGGGATTGGGCCCCCGCTCTTAACAAAACAAGTTGTTGAGATGCAAATAACGCAATGACATAAATATCTGTTATATATATATAAAAATCATCTGGTTGGGGCCTGAAAAAATGGATGGATTCTTCCAGATTGGGGTCCTCAGAAATAGCCATGTGGCCAAGTCGGACCGGGAACGGGCGGTTGCGCAGGGTGTCAAGTGTCAAGGATATACACCATAGAAACAGCTGGTAAATGGGGAAAACCCTTGCCAAGACCCTTGAAAGCACGGTGCAAATTCCTCTCGTTTTCTTTACATATTCAAATATATATATATATATATGTATGTAGATTTGGGACTTCTATATCATGAGGGCCAAAACCGAGCCATGCAGACTCAAATGATGCCATGTTTGATCGTTTTGTACCAAACTGGCATACCAAAGATGTGCCCAACAAAAGAGGATGTCTTTTGATCTTCACGATTGCAGCACACTGAGTGCAAATGTGCCGCTTTAGATATGTATATATATATTATATTCATATACATATATATATATATGTATATATATATATTATATTCATATATATATATATTTACATGTATACATACATTAGTGATGCAAAATAATACATATAGCAGCCCCGGAAAACATAGAATATCTCCTCCTCTGGTTTATTCCTGGGCCGGTCATATACCCGCTCCAACTTTTCTATCTTTAGGGGCATGCTGCAAAAAAGGAGGCAACATGCACTTTGATGTTTGCACAGCATTAAATGTGCCTTGTAGTTTTTCTATCTTTAGGGGCGTGCTGGTATTTACATCAAAAATGCACATCAAACATTGATGATAGACTAAATTGTGTGGAAATAGCGTGCATATATGCACAAAAATTGGTTTGCTTGACAAAATCATATTAAGGCATACTTGAAAATGGGCAAACACCCAGCAAAAAGTCAAGAAAAGCTTGATTATATGAAGAAAAACCATGGTGAAAGGGAGAGCAGGTTAAACATACGAAGAAAAACCCAACAAAAAGTCAAGAAAAGCTTGATGATATGAAGAAAAGCCATGGTGAACGGAAGAATAGGTTGAACATATGAAGGAAAACCCAACAAAACACAAAGAAAAGCTAGGAAGTATGAACAGGAACCATGATGAAAGGAAGAACAGGTTGAACGTGTGCCTTGCACCCTTTTGTTGTAGCTTTTCTATCTTTAGGGGCGTGCTGGTATTTACATCAAAAATGCACATCAAACATTGATGATAGACTAATTGTGTGGAAATAGCGTGCATATGTGCATTATGATTATTAACGGATGTAGGGTTTAAGGTTAGACACGACATATTTTTGATAGAAATGTCATTTTTGAACCAAATTTCGACCAAAAAAAAATCGAAAAAAAAATATTTTAAATTTTCATTCCAATACCTTGAGCATGATCCACTGAATGCTTTAAACCTGATTGTAGACATAATTTGTGAATAGAAATGTCATTTTTGAACCAAATTTCGACCAAAAAAAATCGGAAAAAAAATATTTTAAATTTCATTCCAATACCTTGAGCATGATCCACTGAATGCTTTAAACCTGATTGTGGACATAATTTATTGACAGAAATCTTTTTTGAAAAAAAATATAAAAAGTTTCAATTTTCATTCCAATACCTTTGAACTGCTCCACTGAATGTTTTAGAACTGATTGTGGATATAATTTATTGAAAGACATCATTTTTTAAAAAAATATAAAAAAAACAGCACTGCCCGGAGTCTCCCCATTTTCTGCTCCAACGGGGAGACACAACGGGGAGAACCACAACGGGAAAGTGATGCAAAATGAGAAATGTCACTTTTATAAATTTTAAAACATATTGAAATATTAAAACTGTGCATATGTGCTGTTTTTTTTATATTTTTTTAAAAAATGATGTCTTTCAATAAATTATATCCACAATCAGTTCTAAAACATTCAGTGGAGCAGTTCAAAGGTATTGGAATGAAAATTGAAACTTTTTATATTTTTTTTCAAAAAAGATTTCTGTCAATAAATTATGTCCACAATCAGGTTTAAAGCATTCAGTGGATCATGCTCAAGGTATTGGAATGAAATTTAAAATATTTTTTTTCCGATTTTTTTTGGTCGAAATTTGGTTCAAAAATGACATTTCTATTCACAAATTATGTCTACAATCAGGTTTAAAGCATTCAGTGGATCATTCTCAAGGTATTGGAATGAAAATTTAAAATATTTTTTTTTGCGATTTTTTTTTGGTCGAAATTTGGTTCAAAAATGACATTTCTATCAAAAATATGTCGTGTCTAACCTTAAACCCTACATCCGTTAATAATCATAATGCACATATGCACGCTATTTCCACACAATTAGTCTATCATCAATGTTTGATGTGCATTTTTGATGTAAATACCAGCACGCCCCTAAAGATAGAAAAGCTACAACAAAAGGGTGCAAGGCACACGTTCAACCTGTTCTTCCTTTCATCATGGTTCCTGTTCATACTTCCTAGCTTTTCTTTGTGTTTTGTTGGGTTTTCCTTCATATGTTCAACCTATTCTTCCGTTCACCATGGCTTTTCTTCATATCATCAAGCTTTTCTTGACTTTTTGTTGGGTTTTTCTTCGTATGTTTAACCTGCTCTCCCTTTCACCATGGTTTTTCTTCATATAATCAAGCTTTTCTTGACTTTTTGTTGGGTTTTTCTTCATATGTTCAACCTGTTCTTCCTTTCGCCACGGCTTTTCATCGTATTTTCAAGTTTTTCTTGACTTTTTGCTGGGTTTTTGCCCATTTTCAAGTATGCCTTTAGATGATTTTGTCAAGCAAAGCAATTTCGGTGCATATATGCAGCAAATTATGCATGGTAGCTTTTCTATCTTCTATATCGGCACGCTATTTCCACACAATTGGTGTATCATCAATGTTTGATGCGCATTTTTCATGTAATTACCAGCACGCCCCTAAAGATAGAAAAGT